AGGAGTCCGTGCCGTGACGTCATCCGCCAGGCGGCGCCACTCCAACTTCTCTGGGCTAATAAGCTCGCGCACATGCAGGAGCACCCAATTACGCTTCATGCAGCGAATGAGGGCGCTGCCCGCCACAGATCTGTCTTTTTGCTTCTTAGAGCCAAGATTTTTTTTTTGTACTTAACAAGCTTAGGATGATTAGAAAGTCTCACGTAATAATAAGAGTGTGACCTTAGGCGGCAAATACGTCCCCCTAAATAACTACCTGTTGCATACCTGCATTGCAGCATGTTTCGCATTGCATACCTGCAATGCGGAACAGCAAGGTTTCTTTATTTTTACACAGATAAGGCAACAAATTACGTGGTGCTTCTACTTGCCACGACAACTTAAAATTCCTATACCTAAATATTGGACAGCATCCTCAATACTGTATATATGGTTTGTGCTTTTTACTTTTATTGCGACAGAAATTATATCAGTAGTCTCAGCTGGTTTTTGCCGTAGCCGCGACCGCCACCGCCATTCACGTTTTATATGGAGAAGGATGCGCTAGCTTTCTGCGGAGTGAATATCTCCTTTCCGGCCGGGCTCACCTGCACGTGTGCTTAACTCGCCAGCGAACAAGGAAAAAAAAAAGGGGGGGGGGGGAGCGCTTATGGTTGCCGCGCTATCGCGGCAACGATCAGCGCACGCCTTGTGCCCCCACAGCAGGCGGGAGCTTCTACGGGCTGCGCTCTCAACACGAAAAAACGTTGCCTGAAATATACCTGGAGCGGCCGTGTTCTCTTACACCAGAGTTTTGTAGAGTTACGTGAGATTGGATCTAAATGAGCCGACAGCCAGCCTCACTTCGCATTATCAACGCCGTCACTAAGCACGAGCCTTCTTGTGGTCATCTACTGTTGTCGCGCCGCAGGAAACTTTGTTACTTAGCAAGCGCATGTTCACTACAACTAATATTGCTCCAAAAAATGCTAGCCTTGCTTCGTGAAACATTCGAATGTGTTGCGATCACATTCAATGCTTTACATTTTTGGCGAAACTGACTTTATAAAGTTTTCACTGACTCACCTCAAATGCACCCTGTGTGGGGTCGGTATGACGACCCGCATTCACAGAAGGTTCTTCGGAAAGTCAAAGCGAGTCATCAGCTCAAGCAGTATGGCCAATGCACTGAACGCGTTGCAATGCGGAATGAAATAAACAAATTGCAAAGTACTGGAGGCACTGCAGATGAGAACTAGTCAAAATCTGGTTATCAAACACACCGTAAGCAGTCAGGAGTTGCGAGAGCGATGAAGGCAAATTATCATTGACAAAATGTGTAAGCATTGACGCCCTGTTTGGATAATTGTCTTCCGTTTGTCCTTTGAGTGTATGCGTGTGTAAGTAGACTTCTCTACTCTACAAAGCAGTTGTGGTATTTTTTACACCGAGGAATGTTTTAATAATATTGATGGTGAAATATTTGTGAAGTTTTGCGCAGGTGATTGCGTCGCACGCTTTGGTGTCACGATGTTCTCGATTGCTTACCGTTAAATCAGGCATTTAGCAATGTAGCTTGCTAATGCGAAAAATTGAAAATGATACCTAAATTTGATAAAACTGCTCTTTCAAGGAAAACACACAAAAATTTTCAAGCTTTAATAAAATGGTGACATTTTTCTATTGAATGTACCAAATCAAATGCACCCGTACTGTAATTCTTGTTAAACAATTAAAATAAATTATGGGGTTCTACATGTGAAAATTGTGTGATAGGCACGCTGTATAAAATGTGGAATAACTCGCACGCTGGGGTTCAACGTTCAAGTGAATGGAGTAGTTTTACATCCCCCTCTTCCCCCTAAATTATACCGATCTACGTTTGCACAGGCATAATACCGAAACAGTTGTCGCATACATCACTGGTTAAAAAGCGCAGAAGACTCGCGCTTTGTTTACATCTTAAAGAAAGCTCAGTTATGGACCGTTCAAATAAAGATTAGTTGTCACCTCATTAAAATGCAACGAAATGAATAAAAATTATTTTTTACCCTCTATAAGGTGGTGCTTGCCTCATTGGCGCATTGGAAGAAATTAAGTAGCAGTAAGCGGATGATGCATAATGTGTGGCGACTGTTGCGTAAACCCAAGCACGCAGCCTTCCGAGATTTTGTTGTATGCAACAGCTAATCTCGAAGGTCACGTTGGTACACGCTTTGTTAGTCATGCGTAACTTCCGGTGAGCGGATCACTTTATTTTCTTTTGTGTTCCCAGTTTCGGCACTAAAACGCCTACTTCTGGGAACCTTCCGTGAAGTATCCACTTCACCTGTTATGGAATTATAGCTCGTCAGTCAAGGTGTCAGGCCGCTAAGATTGATGGCGCGGGTTTCCTTCCCAGCCATGGGGAAGAATTCAACTTTCTATGCCTCCGCTCCCACTTCACTCGTAAAATCATGCCAAGTCGCTGCTCTGCATCTACATAATCCGACACTAAAAGATTTCAACGCGGTTAGAACTTCTATGGCACTGACCATGGTAACGGGGCCCGTCAACTCAGTACTATAGTTAGAGTGAGGGGGGCAGTCAGCGTAGTGAAATTGTAGCAGTGACGTGTCCATTATAATAGTGATTCAGCTATAGTGACGACCCCGTCATCGTAAAGCGATGGCTATTTGGCGAGAGGGGCCTGTTAGCGTATAGTGCAGCGGTAAAAATGAGGTGGCCGTTGCCGTAATTTTGTAGTCGTTTAAACGCCACCGTTTAGCTGTTCTAGTGCCATAGTGGCTTGACGCGAAGTTGGCAAAGTGGACGTGACGCAGGACATCAGTTCAAATTCACGTTTTCGAATGTTTTACTTTTCCGGTTTTTTGTTCAAGGTAATGCTGCAAGAAAATCATGTCACTGTCTGCGGTGGTTGTTAGACAGCCGTACCATGTCGATTTCGTTGCGCAGTGTCGTTCGTGTCCAACGGTTGCGAATTGCGCTCTTTTTGTTCTCTCAGTATTGTTTTAAGTACTGTTACTTTTGCACTTTGGTTTCAGTTCCTCTGCATTGATACCATAGCTTTAATTACTAATTTGTTACACATAATGTAATGTTCGCGAATCAATTTGATCCACGTATTTTTTGTGTCGCTGTATAAAGGCCACATATGGACTGATGCCAAACGTTGTGCAGGTCAGCACAGAATGTGTTCCGGGCAGTGTAGTTGGACAGTATGTTTCAGTAAGTCCCCAAAATGGCAATACATATGAATGTACAATACATGTAGCTCCGACTTCAGGCCAACTTCACCGGAAATCGCACACACACTTATTCATGTGGTCGAATCGGTTCCTTCAAACAAGGGGATATGCACGTCGCTTTCGTCCCATGATTGTGTGCTATTGCTATGCAAACGTAGATAGACATTCGAGCTCTCTACGGCGGGGCAGATACTCGCACGGCGGCGTGCTCTCTGTAGCTATCTTCCCAACCTGAGACGACGCTTGTCCTGCGAGAGCGAAACGTGTTACGTATCGTTCTCGGCGATTAAAATTCGAGCGCGCCGAAGTCGTGGGCATGAGCGGTCGTCTAGATGCTTTGATTTGCAACTGCTGGCTGGTGTGGCTGCGGAATTGGGTAAACCACAAAGTATGACCGAGTCAGTGACACAAATACGCGAGAATGAACGTGCATCTAGAAGCGTCAATGTTTCCTACGATGAGAGAAGGTAGCCGAAGGGAGCTTGAACGCAGTCACCTCGAGCAGCAGCAAAGAAAAAAAAAAGCATATCTTCTCCAATTATACAGTAAGAGCACAAACAGCTGCACTATGTCGAGGCTCGTCACTATAGGCAGCGTTGTTAAAAAGGGTAACCTCATAATAACATCATTACGGTGCTGTAATAATTGCCTCGATGTGGGAGTGTCTGTGCACATGCTTTTAATGTTGGCGGTGAAAACTCGCGTCACTTGCAGTAATGCAGTAGATTTCGTGGTGTGGGGAGCTCAGACAAGGGCTCTGCGACAGCTGCCACTCAGCGAGCCGGGTCCGTCAGCGAGAACCTCAACTCACCTGATTGTCCAGGTTCTCGCTGGCCAGCGGCTCCTCCCATCGCTCCACTGTAAGATGCTGCCTTTAAAACTGGCCACATTACCCGAAGCAATATTGAAAGCAGAAAAGAAAGAGAAAAGTTCAGTTGGTTAGCGCGACTCGAACTGAAGTCGCACACCAACATTGTACTCACTGCATCTCGAAAAATCAACATGGTAGGACTAACAACTGGCACAAACAGCGAGGTGATTTTCTTGCAAAAAAGCAAAATTACGACCCTTTGAAAGCAGTAACGTTAATATTGACGCATTCTTATATGTAGAGAGAGATTGATTTGATTGATTTGTGGGGTTTAACGTCCCAAAACCACCATTTGATTATGAGAGACGCCGTAGTGGAGGGCTCCGGAAATTTTGACCACCTGGGGTTCTTTAACGTGCACCCAAATCTGAGTACACGGGCCTACAACATTTCCGCCTCCATCGGAAATCATAGAGAGAGATAAACAACAAGAGAAGGCAGGGAGGTTAACCAGGCACATGCCCGGTTTGCTACCCTACGCTGGGGGAATGGAAAGGGGGCATAAAGATGAGATAGAGAGGAAAGAGAAGAGAAAGAGAGAGAGAAAAAAAAGGATTGTCAGTCAATGGGCTGACGCGTATGCAGCGGTGGCACTACACAAAAGTTAAAGGTGGTCACGTAGGCCTGTAGTCCTCAAAAATCACAAGACAGCTTTAACTGCTTTTTGAGCCGATGAAAGGCAAGGACGGTGTTCCATTAGCATCTATAAAAATATTAAGAAGTAACGAAACGGAATTCGAGCTGACGACCTGTGGCACGACTGCCTTCTTAATTGCACGTCAATGGACTGCGTCACCAGAACAGCTAGGCGGTGGTGTCTCAAACGACTACAAATTTACGGCAACAAGAAACGACTCGTCCAAGTAACGAAGTGTAATGACCACACATGTCGAAGGTGACTGACAATAAAACCTGTAATTTATTGCTCTGCTTCTACCCTCTCCCGCCTATTTTTATTGCGTATAAATCAGTAACACGTGACAAGGAGAGGCATAGAAGTGCTTTCAGAAATAAAAATAAGATAAAAACTTTAAAATGCTCGCAATAAATATTTATGCCTATACAGCTCAGTTTAAAGTGGCGAGATTTTTTGAAGTGGAATTAAAATAGCCAAGAGTGCGATTTTGAAGCGTGTGAGTAATGACTGAGAAGTTGTCCCAATTGGTGGCGATTATGAAATGCACGATTTATTATGTATGTATCGTGAGCGGCCATGACACATAAATGAAGTTTAAAAAGAGCACCGCTAAGTAGTGTGACGAACAGTCGGAGGTAGCTTTGGTTATTAGGGTGTAAAATGCGAAAGCTGTGTGTAGCAATGTATCTCGAGACGGTGAGGTATTGCACACCTCCATGAACTGTCCACAAAATGAGCACTCACATAGAGTGTACTGAAAAAAAAAAAGTGGAATTGCATATAATTTCTCACTTCCTCCCATTTTCTTCTTCTGTGCCCTTACGCGTCTTGAGGCATTCCGTAGACTAAAAAATGAGTTGTGGAGATTTGAAAACGAAGTGGAAGCAGCTCTGACCATAGAAAGATGAGGTGTGTAAAATCCCTCATCAGGGGATGTGAAATTTGATGCGCTCTATAGCGTCACTGTACAGGACTGTTACCTCTGGCAGAGCTAGAGACGATGCCGAGATAGGGAAATGCTCCAGTCAGAGCATTCTGGCAGTCCCTCATCAGCACTTTCCCGAAAGGGATGAATAAAGGCAAGGTGGAAAGGGCGAACCCTCACACTCCGTTGAAGGCCAGACGAGGCATGGAAGTTCAGACACTGTAGGTGACCCTGGATGAGGTGAGGGGCTCTCTCTCCGGCGGGCTGTGCTGGACCAAGAACGAGGTGGTGAGCGAGAGCCAGCGGTGCCGCACGTGGTAGGCAGCTGTGCGGCGCTCGTGCACCACGCGCGCCATGATGCACAGCGCCACGAGCGAGCCGATTGTGAGCAGCACGCAGCGGCTATCCCAGTAGAAGCAGAGCGGCACGCCGACCGCCCCCACCAGCAGCAGCAGAATCGCGCCCAGCACCGTGCAGACGTCCTCCAAGTCCCAGTCCCCCGATGGCTCCGGATCTTGAAGGCACCTGCGTGGGTTCGCAGCCGTTACTGCGAACTTATTTACACATATACTCCTGTCTCATGTTGCATATAGGCGTAGTTGCGCATCGCCATCGAACATGTCATCTGGGCATCGATATGCGGCTTCTCCGGAAAATAAAACGCAGCTTTATTGCCACTACTATCATCGAGTATACTCAAGGTAAACTGATTGGTAGAGAAGCAGAAATTGGAGATTAACAATTCGATATTGCCGTCAATCAGCTTTGCCAAACATTTAGATGGTGAGTGTTTTCGCATCTTTTTTTTCTAACAATGGCGGCAAGAGACGAGATGTTGAAGGGGAAGAAAAGCCATGATCCATAGCGGGTATGTAGTCACAAAGCAACCAGGTACAATAAATTAACGAAATACTTGGATGAAATACCTCTTTGTAATAAGGAAGGAGAGAGGAAGAGTGAAGATAAGGAATTGTCGTGAGAGAGAAACGAGAAAAAAGAAAGGCAGGGAGCTTCACCAGATGCTAGTATCCTACATGCTAGCCTGCACTGGGGTTGAGAAATATGGGGCTCCAAGAGAGAGAGAGGCAAAAAATGAATAAGAGCAAAACACGGACACTCACGGACACAAAATCAATCCACTCAGAGGCATTCCGACAGGCCAGTATAGTTCGCAAGAAGAACAGTGGCGCTTGCATGGTGTATTGAAGTCACCACTTTCAAGTATTGTAGAATGGTTCGTATGGCTTTTTGGTGGGATATGACAGCACAGAAAGGGCAGCCGTATATACGAAGTTCAAGTTTAATCTACGTTTCGAGCAGGGCCATGATTTTGCCAACAGTTGATATATTCGGGGCTAAGTTACGAAACGAACGATAGGTAAACAACTTAGGACGAACTGGGGACATAACCCCTTGTCAAATTTGGTCACTCTAGCAAACTAGCGCTGTGCGCACGTCCTGGGGTGAGCATAACGCCAGCAGAGTACTATTGCATTACATTGATTTAAACAGTTCAGAATTTCTCGCCACACAACACCCGGACATGAACCACACGGAATGTCAACGCCATGTAACGACAAGACCAGCGACCTTATTCGCGAGTGCAAAAAGCCTCATCTACAGTACCTTAAGAGACAAGAAGAGAGCAGAGTGGATTAGGGGACAAATGGGGGTTAAGGATATCATAGTTGAAATAAAGAAGAGGAAATGGACATGGGCCGGGCATGTAGCGCGTAGACAGGATAACCGCTGGTCATTAAGGGTAACTAACTGGATTCCCAGAGAAAGGAAGCGGGTTAGGGGGAGACAGAAGGTGAGGTGGGCAGATGAGATTAAGACGTTTGCGGGTATAAATTGGCAGCAGCAAGCACAGGACCGGGTTAACTGGCGGAACATGGGAGAGGCCTTTGTCCTGCAGGGGACGTAGTCAGGCTGATGATGATGATGATGATGATGATGATGATGACAGTACCAGGGGTCTTAGTCTCACTTCAGCGAGCGGGCCACCCGCATGGACCGGGACAGTGAAGGATATCGGAGGGAACGAAATGCTAGCAAACATTTCCATCTGAGGAAGGCTTTTCCCATTTCATACAAGGGTCATTTATGATGGAGATTGGACGCCAGTATTCGAGACACCTATCCCTACTGATCTACAGAATGACTGAAATGTGGACACTGGTCTGAAATATAGCTTTTTTCCTAGTTATGTTTCACGGCAAAGTATATTATTTGTTGGAATTTTGTGTCCCAAAAACACGATATATTTGAGAGACCCCTAAGAAGAGGGCTCCAGAAATTTTGATTACCTGGGGTCGTTTAGCACCTTCGAGCACCGATTTTTCAACAATGGTGAATGCACTAAGTGCCTCATTAAAAAAAATAAAAGCTTAACACTAGTCACGTTTGTGCAGATCAAAAACGTCCTATAGAAAATTAAAAAAACAGAAGAGGGTGGGGGTGGCAAGGACCGTCATGTTCGCGCAGGGCCGCCAGCGGAAGTTCCGTGGGCAGCGTGTTTGAGAAATGTGCTATGCGCTCTTCACACGAAGTTGCTCCAAGAATCTAGTGCACAAAAATTACACACGAAAGAAAAAAAAATGACGCACAAAGACGAGCGTCCACTGTGCTTCTTTCTTGTATGTGCGTTTTTTTTTACAGCGGAGTCGTTTAAGCAGATCATTGGTCCACGATGGCTGGACAGAAATGATTGATCATGGACCGGCACGCACCATAGTTCTATGGTAGGCGAGAGAACGAGTAAAGAAAGAGAGAAAAAGAAAGGAAAATTCTTCGCGAATGAATTTCTCGAAGAGGCGGAAGTTCGAAGTCGCGTACCCACGATTGAAAGGCAAGCATCGTGCCACTCGGTCACGGTGTAAAAATAAGTTCACTCTGCTATCCTGGCACGCTCGCAGAGCATACCATAGCCTTGGACAGTATACTGCAAAGTGACGTATACCTAGAGTGTGGGAAAGGGAAGAATTGTTGGTGAGGATGCGAAATACAAGGGTGAGGAGAAAAATATGAGGGAGGGAGAGTAAAGCGTAGCGTGAAAACAGAAAGACAGAAATAGAGAGAATCTTAGTGAAATACACCGACAGAAAAAGATATAAAGAAGGAAGAAGCATGAACTTGAGAGAAAAAGAAAGGAAATAAAAAAAAGATTGAAGGAGCGAAAAATAGCAATAAATATATATAGAGAGGAAGAAATATAAATATTCGAAGTCAAAAATAAACTAATACACCGAAAAAAGAAAAAAAAGACGACACAAAAAATTAAAAAAAAAGACAGTCCAGCTGCGAACTTCCTTCAGGCTTGGAAGCACTAGGGCGAAGCTGCCTCAATTCTTTAACGCTACAATCTTGTAGCTATGTCAGACAAACTAGTTCTACAAAAAGCCCTGCGGAGAAGTTTACACGGCCTCCCATGACTCACCTACGCCGTTCTACTGACTTGAAATGAGAATCGTGGTGCTAATTCAATTTTTAAGTTGCACCGTGATGTGATGTCCATTTTTCTCAGTACTATACTGAAATCCGTGAGAACTACGGGGAATAGCGATGAATAACATTACGAACACTTGCGAAGTATTGACACAAAAATAGTCGTGCTCATAAATGCCTGGGGCTAGGCTGTTTGTGTTCGTAAACGACGTGGCCTCTCGGAGGACAAGTGCAGGGAGTGTGCAGTGCTGAAGCGAACACCAAAGAAGATGGCATTCAATTTGTACATTTTCTTCCGTATTTATTACATACCTCAACTCTTACTGTGAGCATACGGGTCTGACACACTGTGTGGTCGAAGCACACATTCTGTCTTAAGAAGTGCAGCAGTACACACCCCGAAACAAGTACGGCGATGCAGTTTTATGATCCGTATTTAATTTTAGGGCACGCATGCGTCTCGCACACTTCGTATGACAGCTTCGGCCTTGTAATCAATAAAGCAATAAATAAATTGCTGAAAACAGAAACCCAGCCGTTCCAACGAAAGCCAGCCGAGAGAACACAAGAGCTTTCACATCCATGTCGGCCATCCCGTGGTGACCACAAATAGCCAATCACCTCAGGAGGAGCTCGAGTTCTCGTGAAACGTATTTACACATGCGCAAGCTTCTGAAAACCCACAATGTAAAGCACAGCCAGATACAATAGAGAGCGTCGAGGAAAAACGAATTGTGAATCGTGTCGCAACAAACGCGAGAGCCCTTGACTACTTATTGGAAAATACAGAGGAATAACGACGCCTTACGACAACTTCACGTTCTCGCGGTCACTAACCAATACAGAGACTTTGCTGCGCCTGTAGAAAAAAAAAACTGTTCTACTCGCGCTATACTACACGTCGAAAAGTTCCATTGGCTTGCATCGTCAATATTGTATATACTGAGGTTGTTGAAAAAACTTTCATGTCAAATGCTGTCATCGCGAATTCTATTGGGAGAATTCGAACACTCCAAAGGACGCTGAAAGTGCTCTCTTCAAAGCCGGCGTGTTTAAGTGGTGCGCAGGAGTAGGAGAGCTGCCATCCAGTGGTAGAGAGCTTTTGCTGCACCGAGGACAGCCAGGAGCAGTTTGTAGTGTACTTGCCTGAAAATCGGAGTGGGCACAGTACGACGAGCAACGCAAAATCTAAGCATCACATTTTTTTGCTTTGATTTTGCTTCAGTCGGTGAGCATGGCTACAATGGTAGCAACCATGCGTAGTTTGACACCACTGATGTTGGCCGTCCTGGCACCGTCTGTACACGGGTAGCGATGATGACGCATGGATAGTTGGACAAACGTGCTATGTAGCTGCGAGTTAGGATAACGGTGAACGTGCGACTGACACATTTTGGGCGTATTTTGCTGCTGTCCGGCAGAGAATGCGAGGGCTTTGATCACATAGTATATTTCTCCCCACTGGTCACCCTCTGTCACCGAGCTCTCCGAAAGCGTGCCGCAATCCAGTGGCGGATCAGTGGTCCTGCTCACAGCACTCTGCTCTCCACTTTTAATTTGGTGCGCTGTCCCTCGATTTCTGTGCTCAGTTAAATTCACCATTAGTGCACAAGCGAAATTTCCGACGGGGCCTATAATGACAGACTCTCTCAATCATAGGAAATCTCACCAAATTGTTTTCAATTTTCGTCTAGCCACGAAAGCAAAATACTTCTGCTTGTTCGAATAAAGAACAGTAAAAAGAGGAAGTACAAATGGAACTTGCAGGTTTTATAGACTGGGTAATATATTTCTTTACAAACTGAATGCATGCAGATGCTTTGGATGTATTTTTTAGAAGCTTCACAGTCCAACTTTCTCACGCGAATTACCGAGGCGAAATGGTCAAGTGAAAAAAAAATCTACAACCAATCCTTAACGTCTATACGAAAATGCATAGCGCGCGTAGTGCACTTAAAGCATGTGGCGACGGTTATATAAAAATGCCCGACAGAACAACGTGCTATAGCTCTTACAGATGCAACTTCCACCCAGTGACTTCTACACGAAGTTCCACTATCGGATTAATGCACTTGACT